AGGCAGCAGTTTAATGTTGCAGCTGTTGGACATTTAAGTCTTTGTTTTGCATGTTAACTCACAAAGTGACTTGAAACTTTCAAATGAAGTTAAGTAAAAATGGAGTTACGTCGAGTACAACCTCAATGCAATATTTAAATAGTGTACTTGAGTAATGTATATAGTTGGTTCAGTATTTGGACAGTTGTACCAGTATTAAAAATGCTTCAGTAAATGGGGAAACTTTGTACACCGGCAGACTTGAGCTTGGTTGCACTCTGTGTAGTGTTTTGGTTTTTGGACAGCACCTAAAATGAAACTTGTGGAATAAATGTTGTTTGCATTGCAAACGTTGCTTTCTGTCATCATGGTTCTGCTGTAAAGCACAGGTCGGCTGATCAACGTTGACTAGCGGTGGAGCTAGCACCAAACTAGAGCTTTTGTTTAATTATTAGATTTGCTTAAGGACATGAGCCTGAAAATAAAACAAGTGCACTTCCGCTCTACCAAGGGCTTTTTCCCTCGTCTCTGTATTTACCAACTGCTTCACTGCATTGTCCTCGATGACGAGGCTAAAGTAAATGTGAATACACCCAAATATAAACATATTTGCAATTTATAACATATGGGTAGCAGTCTGTATTTTAAGGGAAAAGGGCAATTTCATTTTGTTATACACACAGGAGACATGTATGACATTTTAAAATCAGCCTCTGGTTAAGACATCACTAAACAACATTTATCACATCAGACATTGGTAAAATTTGCAAACTTCAACTTATCAAAGGAACATTTAAAAATCTGGCAGGTAAACGTTATAATGCAAGTATCCTACAAGAGAAGTGGAAAAAAGTGAGGTTAACAGTGATGTTAATTGACAGCAATTAGTATTCCGCTCTGCTCACCTGATGTCATCCTCATTGGCAAAGATAATGACTGCTCGGGCATTCGGGTTCTCACTCAGCCTGCGAATTATCTTGTCAAACTCTCCAGCTCTTGGCTCACGTGGTATTTTCACCGACTGTGAAATGCACAGGCCACCTTATTGGAATACAAAAGAAAAAAAGTTTGAACGACTTAATCATTTTTCTGGAATACATCTGAACAGATCTTATCTGCAGATATTTGAACTACAATTGCTTATTATTGCAGTAAAGTCAGGTGAGTGTTTTTCAAGGTCTCAGTCCCCCAGAAACATCTGTCTTGTTTTTTTAACAGAAATCCTTTTCAATCCTTTGGACTTTTTTGTTATAGATGCAGTATTAAATGTGTACAGGTGCAGTATTTCTCCTTGGACCACAAGGGGCAGCTTTAAGACCTGGAGACCCATCCATTCAGTTTATGGTCCTGTCAGTGAGACCGGGGGAATTTGGTAGCATTTGGAAGTACATCAATTTTGTAATTGAAAACTGGTTCCATTTGTACTGAGCCATATTCCTTATCACACAGGCTTGTTTAATTTTATTCAGCCTGCAAACTGTTTACTAAATTTCTCCTGCTTGTGTTTAAAGAGCATCCTCAACCATTAGAGAACCTCTGGTATATAAGTCTAAAGGCAGCGTTCCCCTGGTTACCCACAAGTGAAGGCTTTTTAATTCCCAGGGCAACATTTCAGGATAATAGTTCTGTCGCTCTACCAAAATGCCACAGAGAGTATGCGCATGCTAATTAATTTCCCCTCGTGACCCAGAGCAAAGCAGTCCAAAGAGCAGTCAGTGCAGGAATAATACCCTGTAGTTGAGTTCATGATAGCTGGACTCACACCACAAAACAAAGCCTGGCCTCAGCTCAGATAATAAGAGGTTGGGAAACTGGAAATATGAGGAAAGAAAAGCGGATGGCATTAAATTAACAGGGATGTTGGGCTGTGTTGCTCATGGGTGCATAAAGTCACTTCCGGTTAGGTCAGTGAGGGGCTTCAGTCAGTGGCCATTTTTTTTATTATTATACTGTGGATTAATTTAATGATGTTTTCTTTTTATGCAGACCTCTGGTTTCTCTGTTTCACTGCGGCTGCATGCAAGTTTATTTTTCCTCCGGTCATGCATGTGAGCTACAGCTCCACTATTGTGATTTAAAGTAGAAAAAGGGTGACACAACATCAACACAAAGAAAAATTATATAAGAAATTATACCAATTTATAAACTTAATGCATTTATTAATCTAATTTTAGATTGGCCAATCACGGTTTTCTCAAAATGTGAAATGTAAAAAGTATAGGCCTTAGAAATGAGCTGAGTAATCAATCGGTCTGTCGCTAATGCCCCGTCCGCACTCATGAAAATATTTTGCACAACAAACATTTTCCTTTTTTCCTCCATCCCCAAATTTTAAATCACTAAAACTGATTTTTACAAATGCCTTTGAAAGTGCAGATTTTTAAAAAGGTGTATTTAAGTGTAGAGTTTTTCGAAAACAATGACATCACAGTTTCACATCGCACATACCTATATCTATTGCCACCGACTGGCCCGGCATGCTTGTTTGAACTTCTGTTGTTGTTTCTGTGCTCTCGAAATTTAAATCAGAAGTTGTGTAGATGGTGATTTTTTTTTTAAAGACAGAGGCAAAAGTATATGCTCCACTGCATCCACATCAGTTTACTCACTTACATGTTTACAGTTCCTTAATGACTGAAAATTATACAACAGAACCATCTGTATACAAAACATTAAAATCTATGTTTGCATAATTTTGTTGGTACATTTACTGTTTTATTTTAGGCCTCATGTGTTTGACTGAAGAACAAGTGAAATGGAATGTATAATAATAGGCACGAAACAGCTTGCAAATAAAGCTTTTCACAGTTGACAATGTTTGCACACCTTTCTAGCATCTACATGCTCCTGATTGTTGAGTCTTTGATTAAACTGTAGCAGAGTTTTATCTGTATCCCTCTCAATCCATATACTTACACTACCAACATAGCCACATGGGAAATTTAGCAGCAGCACCAGCTCTCTGCTCCAAGTGACTTTCTCAAACATTAGATACGATGTCTTTGCGTCACTGGTACTTCAGTCCCACTTACTCCTCAACATCTGTTATGTGGAAACAGAGCACTCATCCCTCCCTTCTCTCCTCTCATCAGCGGAAGCAGGCTGCTTTATTTCTAAACCTTTAGGGAGAGAACCAGGGGATGAGAACTTAACCTCTGGGAGATGAAGCACATTCAACAAGGCTCTCCAGGGGCGCTTGTGTTGTAACTCTGTTGGTTGAAGGGTAGACAAAACAATTTGTTTCATTGCTAACACCATCCATTCATCTGTGCAGTCTATTAGTTCTCTGAGTATATAGGATGGTCAAATACACGGTACCCTGACACCAGGACCCTGATTCAAACCCTTGGACAGGAAGCATCAATTGAACCAGACTCAATCCCTGCACCTGCTCCAAGCACTGGAGCTGATCCTGCACCTTCCCACTAACAGCGTTCACTATATCACATATCATTTCATTATATCTGCACAAAGCTGATAAATATGATTTTATTTCCTCTCACAGTGGATTGTTTGCATGCTGTGATACCTTTGACGTGTAGTTTCAGCTGTGAAAGCTGTTCCAACATTGCATTTCATTACGGCCTAAGTGGCTTTTAAATGGTCTTGGTAATTGCAGCCCTTGCTCATTACATATATTATATTAATTTTAGCTGACTAAATAATTACATTTTGCCACTGGACACAATGTAATTAAGAGATATCCATTTAAAGACCTCCTTCAGATTCAATGGATGACCACCATCTTCTGTTACACTGTCAACCCAAGAACATCCAGAGAGACAATTAAAAAGCAATAATTCACAAACGTGTGGCAGCCCAGAAAAAACAGCACCATTTGTCTTAATGTTTATATCACCAGACTCATAGAGCATCTTGTGTTCATTAATTACAGTATATGCATCAAAGTGGCCTAAAAAGGATCCATGCAGATTAATAACCAGTGGATTGTGTAAAACCAAACCGAAGTTCTGGGCATTGCTTTGGGTCTGGCAAAGAGAAAAATGTCATAATTCATTAATCTTCCTGACGGCCTGTTGCATTGTGTTAAAGCCAAGTAGGTAAGTGCAAAGTCAAACTGAAGCCTCCTTTTTTCTGCTGGAAACTTCACAAGCCGTATATTTTACTCCCAACACTCACCCTATACGACTTTTAACATCCGAGCCGCGTCTAAAAAGCACCTCTAAAAATATCCGTTGCTGAGGAGACTGAGCCTCCTCTCCTGTGTCTTCCATTGTCAGCCCCAGTCTCTGCTCTGCTAATAGCTCTGAACACTAATATTCCTTCTCATTTGATGCCTGTGAGAGTGACAGTGCTGCCATAAACGTTAAATATTTGCTGGCACTGTGGCTGATTGCAGCACAGCTCTTGCACTTGGTGAACAGTTGTGCAGATGCACACAAAATACACCCAAGTGGGAGTTGTGGTGGGGTAAGTGCCGGGATGAAAATAGCTTTTTTTATTGGGATACCCTTCACAGAAATACCAACACAAGCAGGTTTAATCTGCTGAATAATGTTATTAGCAGCAACAGTACAGGAGCTGAAGCTAAAATAATGTTTCCTAGGCTTTAAGTTTATAGGTTTAAAAAATGGTCCATTTCTTTATTTTAGAATGAAAACATGGACACTAACTGTTACTCGTGTTGTGTCACAGCAAAGTTATTAGGCAACAGATGGAATCGGTTAATAATTAGAAAAGGCTGCATGGAGCTTTGATTTCCCATCTGCCTTGACCATCATCATGTTGTTCCATTAATCTGTCGTGGTACTGTATATACTCTCTGGCTGCTGAACAGCCGTCTGATGCATGGAACAGCTACGCTCAGTCAAAGCTGGGTGATCACAGTGGCTCAGAATATCAAAATAATGCAAAATGATAGTAACCAAAGCAGGGGGATGTGGATGGCTCTAAATAGCGAGATAAGTAACCCCCTGCCTCTGGTTCAGGAAACTGTATATGCAGTGATTAATGGAAAGCAGTAGATCAGAGACATGCTATAAACTGGCACCCTGACCGATGTTTTTCTGCCTTTTATCCAATGCATGCTGGGACACGTTCGGGCCCCTGAGAGTCAGAGAAAATGGTGGGTGGAATTAATTTTAGGCAAGAAAAACAACAGCACAGGTACAACCCTGACCATCTCTGGTAGCAAAATATTACCTTAGATGAATTGGAGGAGCTGTGCTGTGTTTTAATATTGGAACATAATCCATTTTTTTACTGATTGTGTGTTCCTCCTCTTGGCAGAAATACAGCCAAAAGCGACTGGGAGTGAAATTCTGGGAGGAGAGAGTGAGAGAGAAATCATTCGGGCAGCATGACCCTGAACTAAAGAGGCCCAGGTTCAGTCCCCTGTTTCATCAACCACCCTCCTAACGTGTCCTGGAGCAAGAAACTAAATCCCCCACAGTCCCCGAGGCGCTATTCTGTCACTGACGCTGTGCGCTGTGCAGGGTTAAGAGGATAAAAAGTAATGAAATCCTCCTCAGGGGTTCAATTACTGTATAATATCCCATTATACTTATTATAGACTGCTGAGTCACAAATAGGGCATATGGAATTGAGAGCCGGTTCCAGTTGAGAACTGGTTCCAAATTGTCCGGACTATCGAAATTGTGTGCCTCAGAGCTTAAAAATTCATTTTTATTAATGTTGACGGGACGTGTCCACTGCATTGGAGACTCGAAACAAGAAGGAGTCATGGCAGAGAGGAAGACATGGTCCAAAGCACAGCTTCATTTAATGAAAAAAAAGATGAGTTAGTGGTAAGGTCTGTAAAACGCTAAGAGCAAGTGAGGGTGGAAACACGTGCAATATGCTGAAACTTCTTTCTACTCAAATTCCAGCAATGTCGTATTTTACACTGGACTCATAAGAGACATCTTTTTTCCTCTTGACTAACAAAACTTAATGAAGACAGAGGTAAACAGTGGAGCCTCAGCACACCTGAGTCATGTGCATTTTTGTTTTCATCTCTATCCATCTGTTTGTTGGTTTTTTATATTTGTTTGTTTTAGAACAAGATTAGACCAAACCGA